GTGTTGCAGAGTGCCAACCTGCTTTTTCTGGTCCGCAGTTACTGGAGGCAGGGCTGCGGGAACTGCAGGAAGAGACGGGATTGCAGCTTCAGGCTGGGGAGTTTTCTTGCCAGACGCTGGGCCTTTGGGAGGTAAGGCCAGGCAACCTGAACATCTCTGGAGGGGCTTCTGCGGGGTCAAAAGCTGGGAAACGACGCTTGGACTTGTGAAACGGAGGTCTGGAGCTCCCCATGAGAGACCCAACTATTAAAAACATGCAATCCTCCCATTTAAAAAAAAATGATTTTGAAAAAGAGCAATTATACATTTGACAAAAACTGATAATAAGGTTAAAGACCATTTTGAAAACCTGGTTTAAAGCAGTTTGAAACTCCTAAACTTTAGTAACTATAACATCTGCTACACTTATTAGATTCTATTATATTCGTTATGTTACAAGCTTCCCCTTAAGGAACTGGCACCCGAGCATCTCTCTCTTTTTTTATCACAGAGGCTAGCATCCTCTTGTTCACTATAACTATAACGTCTGCTACAATCCCCCCATCTAAACATTGCTTTACGGTCACTAAACTTCAACGTTAAGCGGATTCATCGTCAAGCAAGGTAATCGTCCAGCGGGGCACCACTGTATATTCGTTATGTTACAATCTTCCCCTTAAGGAACCGGCACCCGAGCATCTCTCTCTCTTTTTTAATCACAGAGGCTAGCATCCTCTTGTTCACTGAAGTTTAGTTCTCAAGGATTGGAAAACCCAAGGGGTCACTGATCCATGTGAGACAATTTGAGACTTAGAGGCTTTTTTCGAGGGGGGGGAAGAATCAACCCCAAGAACACACACACACACACGACCCAATTGTTTCTGCCTCCTTTGATCCTGTCCTGCAGTCCGTCTACCCTCCTTACCTGAGCCGTGGGTTGCCGAGGCGTCACCACGTGGTCCTTTATCTCTGGCTGCTCTCCCAGGAAAGGCACCAGCAGCTGCAGGTGAGGAAATGTCCTGGAAAATCCTTTTTATTACCTTAAATTTATTCAAAAGCTTCCTTTCTCTCCTGCAAGAGCCCTTAGAGGGCTTTAAAAAGGTTAGAAAAATACAGCAAGACCCCTATATCAATGAACTGATTGCAAGCCTCCGCGGATGTTGAAAACCATGGATAATAGCAAACACTAAACATAGCATAATGAAGGGAGGGGGGGAAATGAGAAAAAAATATTTTCACCATGTATTACTAGAACTCGTGTCTAGGGGGAGCCAGAGACCATGCTGTCTTTCACCAACAAGAATACCTAGCATGGTCTGTGTCTTCCTCTAGTGGCCGGTTCTGGAAAATACATCATGAAAACACAAATTTCTAGCTTTTTCTTTTTATATTTTCAGACCAGGACGGCACCCCCAGAGTTGTAACGCCCTGTTACGACTAATAAGAGTCTAGCCACTGGGTTATCAAGGCCAGTCTCCTGGTTCAGCATATAAGGACATCCACATAAGCCGTCTTCTGGCTCCAACAGGTCTCTTGGTCATGTGACAAAATGTTTCACAGGCCAGGCAAGAGTGAGCGTGTGAAGGGAAGCTTGTTGGTTTGGCAAGAAAGCTTACGTGACCCTCCCGTTGCATAAGAAGCTGACATTAAAATGAAGTGGAAGCATCATAAATGCTTTCGAAAGGCCGCTAACTTAAAAATACCTTAAAAATGCATCTGAAGGGGGAGAAAAACACCACGTTTCCCCCACGAAAAGCTTCTCTTCTCTGCAGCTGGGAAAAACGTTTCATTACAGGGGGGATCAAAGAACAACGGGGGTGGGTGGGAGCGGCCTAGATTCTTGTAGCAGGGAGTTTCGCAGGCCAGGAGCGATGGTTGAAACACCCTCTCTTTCTCTTGTGCCATCTCCCAGTGTCCTTGTTTGGGTGGCAAAAGCAAAGTCTGCTCCGAAATTCTTAAAACTGAAAGGCCAGGGGAGACATTGCCACCGGGCGGTAGAGGTTCTCCGCTCAGCGCATGGGGTTGACACCGTGCGGCTTCGGGAAAGGTGGAGGAAACCGCCTTGCCCTCCTGTTTTCCACCTTTCAGGGGAGGCTGAAGCCCGATGAAGCGGAAGTGAGCGCCTACGCTTGGCTGGAACCCCGGCTCCTGGCCGCCATCGCCGCCACGGGAGACGAGGCTGGAGGTGGGAACAGCGCAGGCGACGCTCATCTGCCTCCGACCCTCCGGTATGGTTTCTTTTAATTCAGCCAAAATCATTTGGCCTTTTAGGCCCACCTTTTGCTTTTGGCTCCACCCACAAACAGAATCATCTCCTCCCCCCCCTTCCCAAACTCCTCTGTGGGTCAACCGGGCTCCCCCCTAAATGGAGCGAGCATGTTCGCCAGGTCCGATTCACGCATTTTTTTTTCCTTCTGCGCCCAACCAGGATCACCGAACTGAAGAACGGCTCGGCTCAGTCGGTCCAGATCCCCGTCGCCACCTTCTTCAACACGGCGCCAGCGCAAGGGGACGACCTGGAGCGCGTCAGCACCGGGACCAAGTTCGCCCTTCAGCAGTGGCGCAATGTTTCCGCAGCGCGAGTCGAGTAAGACCCGAGCCTGCTCCGAAAGGGCTTCGGATACCTCAAAAAGTGAACCCCAGTAAGATCCTGACATTTGTGGGGGGTCTGGCAGAGGCTCTCCCCTGCTGCTTTTGAAAGGACGCCACTGTCCCGCTGGCAAAAAAAATCTGTATTTCGCCCACACTCTCCCACAGCCAATAAATGAGAAGAATTCTTATTCTGGTTAGAAATTTGTGTACCACAGATCAAGGAAGGGGCGGAAATCCGTGGGATGATTTTGAAAATGGACTCACGCGCTGCGCGAAGTAGATCCAGGACTCTAGGGTGGCAGAGAGCATCCCGATGAGGATGAATGAACGGTACACTTCTGAAAAACACTTTTTGCCAGGATTATTTTTTTATTTTCTCTAAAAAGGTACGTTTGCATATACACAAAATGGCCCCGAGTTGATAAAACAAGGGATCTGACAGACAGAATAAATAAACCCATGCAAAGGGATTAAGGTGGTGCTAAAGGGTTCCTTTTTCTACTCAACGGGTTGGGAGGGCCTTGTGGACTCTTGGCCGGCGGTGCGGAATGAAAAAGCAGGACTCGAGGCTCTCTGCTCGTTAAATGCTCTGAAAACTGTACAAATCATATACGGCAGACTGCTGTATCCGTGGGGATCGGTTCCGAGTCTCACCGCGGATGCCGAAAACCACGGATAACGGTGAACTCTGTGTGCAGCATGGTGCCCTCTACTGGCACGTTCTGGTAATTATAGCATTGAAATACACATAAAATATGCATTTTTGAGTTTTTCTCATTTAATGTTTTCAGGCAGCAGAGAAGTGAAACTGTGGATACTGATCCCGCAGATAGGGAGGTCCTACAATATTTTAAGGTTCAAAACAATAATGTTCTGCTCTGAAGCCTTCCTCGCTAAACACCCAAAGTACCAAAAATAATAATAATAAGATCAAGCAGCTGGGAGTGAGGTGGGTCGTCTCCCAAGCTGGTAAAACCACATTTCCACGCAGTGATTTTAGTGCAGCTGATCCTTTGAGAACACAAATGCACAGCACCACCAAGAAAAAACAGACGCCTGCCTCAGGGAGCGAGTGCAAAACCCGAGGTCTCCCAGTCCAGGTCAGTTTTCCATAGAGGTTTTCCGGATTCCTCTGACAACTTCTCTATTCCAAACTGCCAAGCCAAAAAAACAGTTTTACATTTATTATTTAAAATTATCCAATAAATATTCTCTAAAAAGGACCACCAATGTTAAACTGAATGCACAACTCAGATGGAGGAACCGGATTTTTAAATATCCTATTCTGAAATTGGGTGTCCGGGCTTTTCTGATTTCCGGAGCTAATTAAAAGCAAACGAAGGGGCGGCTTCAGAGAAGAAGGTTTCGAAGGCAGACAAACTCAAAATAAAAATAATTTTAAAAAAAGTTTTTTTAAAGGCCCTTGATTTCTTCCGGATCTGATGGGAGGATGATCCTGACACCTACCCATCGTCTCCCGCTCAGATCGATTCGGTTTTCAAACTGGTCCATGAGCCTCTTAGCGGACTACGAGGGCCCTCATCCACCGCACGCCGGCTGGAAACAGACTTGGGTCTAAAGCCGAAAACTTAAAAAGCAGTTGCTACAAATGGAAAAATACACACACATCATAATACACTTAAATACATAAATAACACTGTGCAATGGACGATGCGCGACCCCCCACCCCACCCCACGTACGCTTCGAGGAGGCCGACGCAACCTTCATTTAGTCCTCGGAGAGAGAGAGAAAGAAAAAAAAAACAGATCTTTGGAGTTGCTTATGTACAAAAAAACTGAAAATATAGATTATTAT